AAAGGAAATATTTTAGATGATGAAAATGAGATTATAATTGAATTACAATATGTTAGTATATTAAATGAAATCTATAAATCATAATTAATAGTTATACAAGAATTTGGTAAAATCACAACTGAAATTACTTATTAATAAACTCCATATTAGATCTCTTAAGAAATATTAATATCAATATATTCATAATATTGTCCACATCAAATATTTTAGAATTATGATAGAGTCAATTATCTAATCTAAATAGATGGTTAATTATATTAATAAGACAATTAGATTGGTTAATACTATATATTTACTCTTAAATCATAATCTTTAAAAATAGGAATATATAATCTTAATATTAAAACATTATTTTAAGATAAATTAATAAATGAATAGATAATTAATTTATAAATAATTGATAATATTTAAAGATTAGTATTAAAATCAACAAGTACTACTTTTAATTATAGACAATCTATCAATCTAGAGGCTTATGTAACAAATAGTTAATTAGGAAATTAATAATTCATATGGGAATGTTTTGATGTTCTTGAAAATGAATTATGTATTAGAAATAATCAAACATTGAAATTAGGTAATAAAGGTACTATTACAATTCCTGCTAATACTTTTAGTCCATTTTAGACAATTATTATATCAGTGTCATATAAAAATATGAAGGAATAAATACAATTATAGATAGTTGAAACTGATGTACCAAAAGTTGATTTTGAAACAACTCCAGATATCTATTCTGGATTTATCAATTTTTATGATTAAATAAATATTAAATTGAGATTTGTGGATATGAATGTAAATCCAGACACTTTATAATATATAGGATTATTATATACAAGTGAAAGAATTATAGCTTAATTTACATTTGATTATTTGGAATTGAAATTATAAATTTGGGATTTCTTAAAATTAGAAGAATTATCAGAAAAATTAACATTAAAAATAACAATTCACAATCCAAATTACTTTTAACCATCTATAATATTTATGAATATCTATATCAATTTACCTCCATAATCATGTGTTGTTAATATTGAACCTACTTCTGGTTAATCATTAATAACAGATTTCACTATATCTACTAAGAATTGTTTTGATGTTAATCAATCTTTATAATATAGAATACTATTGTATTAGAATTAATCAGATTTACATTATGATTATGCTATTGGCTAATTATATAAAGGAGTAGTGTTGAATCCTTATCAATATGATCCTGTCTATAAAACTAAATTAGTTGGAAAGGGTGAAACATATTTAGTAGTCTAAGTTAAAGATACATTAAATGGGATTAGTAATTATACTCTAGTTGTAAATGTTACATCGACAGAAACAGAATAAGTTTAATCAATGATGATGTCAAGTCAATCAGATTTAAAATCTTCTATATTATTTATGTTGAATTCTGAAAATAATAATCAATCATCACCTTAATAATTAACAGACAAAACATTTTAAAATACTCTATAATAAAGTGAATGTGATTGTGAATACGATGTTAATTAATAATTATTTCTCAAAAAATTATTAGTATAATAGAGTTAATCTATATCATATGATTAAATAAATAAAGAATTAGATAAATCAAAAGTAAGACTTAATGAAATTGAATAATAATTGAAATAATAAATTACTTTAATAGATAATAGTTATGATAGATCTAAATAATTATTATAAAATGTTTTTCTACATGAAGAAGTATTAGGATATGCATAATATATTGCAGAACTATTTAATAAAAATTAAATATCTAATTAATTTAGGAGATAACTATAAGAATATTAAAATTCAATTAAAATAAACAATCAGTAAATTATAGATTCCCTTAATGTTATTACAAAAATACAATTAAGTTAATAAATGATCAACAGTAAGAAATTATCCATTTAGACTAATTAATTTAATATATCTACATAAAGAGTTACATCTAAATTATTATAATAAGCATTAGGTAATGTATTAACATCTTAATAATAACTTGTAGATGATGATGAAACTGATTATTAATAACAATAAAATTCAATTCGTTTTGAATATAAATTGATTAAATATGCCTCTAATCCTTATTTATATGATTCAGACTTTATGGAAATCAATAAAAATCATACTAATACTATTCTTTATCATCCAACAGTATCTTTTGAAGAAAATTAAACTTAACTTATTGATTCTATGTCAACCTTAAATTATGAATTTCCAAAATCGGATAAATAGAAATTTTATGAATGTGTTATGAAAATAGAAGATTCATGGAGTTTAGATGCTTGTACTACTACTGAAAAAGATTTTAAAACTATTTGTGAATGTTAGAAAATATCTATAATTACTCTTATTGATGCAATGCATTAATTAGCAGATTAATTAACTTCCTTTTTTTCTATTGATACAATAAATAAAATAAATTAATGTCATTATGAGGAGATGTTATTCTTATACATATTAATCTTATTTACATTAATTTTCATAGTTTTTTTATATATAGGACATAGATTAGATTAAAAGTAAATTAATTCTGGATCATTTTTTTCAGCCAAAGTTATGCCATAATCATGGGATGAATTCCCAGATAAAGAAAGAGCTGGTAGTATTGATGAATTAGCATAATTAGATTTATAATAATAAGGAAAACAAAAAATGAAATAAAATAATAATCATACTAAAAATAATAGCATCAAAATTTAAAATAATAAAACTCTTTCAGAAGATAATTAAAATAGATAAATTGATTCTGCATGTTCTAGTAAACGTAGTATGGCTTTAGACTCAAATGGACGTTCTGGTAAAGCAATTGAAGAAACAGAAGGTAATCAACTTTCAGGTACACCAATTTTAGATGAACAAAAAGAACAAAATTCACCTAAAAGAGAGGATTCTATTTTCAATTCTATTCAAAATTAATAAGTAAAATTTCATTAAGGATTCTTTCTATATTTTAAAGTAATTTTATATATTGATTTATTTAGATTAATCATGTTTTAATGAGTCTTTATTATCTTTATAATGAATAATAAAGTAGAGTATATAGAACAATTATAGTTTATATGTCAATTATTGGTGAAATTTGCATATTAACATTTTTTGGAGAAGTAATAATATTAATTTTATATTTTAGATTATTAGTTTAAATACAATTTTAGCATTGTCTATATTACAATCATTATTTGGATTAATATTTTGTAAGATATTTTCTTTTCTTATTCATAATACAGTGAAATTCTTAAAGATTATAGGATTGACATTAATACTACTTGTTGTTTCATTTTTCTACTTTATCTTATTAGGAAGTTTAGCTCGTTATAATACCATTAAAGAATCCTAATATTGGGCTTTAGCTTATTTAACTAGTTTTGTTTTGAATTACATAATATATTCACTTTTGGTATAATTTACAATGTTCACATTTCTAAATAAATTCCATAGTTATGAGAGAGTCAAGGTATATTATATATTTATGATTTAATAGAAAATTATGAAGTATATACTAGAAGATAAAGTCTACCAAGAATTATATGGAAAATAATGATGATTTATTTATAAGAACTTTATGAGAATAATTATAAATATTATTTAATGAATCGAAACATTCCAATTGGGAATAAAATATGTGCAACAAAAGAAATATTCTAGAACCAAGTAATTCTTAATACTCATTTATTAACTATGAGACCATAAATTAATACTAGTGCACCTAAATAATATGATTTCCTTAAAAATAAAAAGATTAAAGAAGCTATTAAATCACAAAAGTAATAAGAAATAGACAGAGAAAATTAAAATCTCATATCTAAATTAACTAACATTATGCAATAATAATCAAGTAATAATATAATACTAATTAAGATAATTCTATCTCTACATTAGCAATTAAGAAATCTACTACCTTAAGTATTGCTCCAAAGAAATCACTTAATAAAGAATACAGAAAAAAAGAATTAATTAAAATAGTCATGGAAAATTAGTAACTCTTGAAAAGAATCTAAGATTAAAAATCTTAATATAATGTTAAAGATTGGAATCAAGAGCGAAAATGGGTTGAAAAATAAATTTCAAATATATGTGAATATCCCTATAAAGATTTCAAACCTACCAAAACTTTAGTATAATATTGGACTAATTCAAGAATTAATGAGTCTTAATTATAAAGTATTTATTCAAAAGTTATATATTATTAGAAAGAGATAATTTTAATAATAAGAAATTAGATCCTTTGGAAATTAAAAGTCAATAAACTAAGTATTAAGTATTATTAATCTATTAGATTAAGACCCAGACAAGATAACAATACAGAATCAAGATAACTCTTGACCAATTAAGATAACTAATAAAGGTAGTATATAACCATATTATAATACAACTAGAAGTCTCTTTGAATCTGATTTTCAACCTTATGAACCTTATTAAGATAAGGTTAGTAAGATAGTTAATGAGATAATAGAAAAACCTTAATAATAAGACTAGGAGGATAAAAAAGAAAATGTTGAAGTTGCTAATAATGAAAATAATCAAGATAAACCAATTCCATAAGAAGATCAACAAAATGTTGCATCTCATGATCTCTAAAGAAAAGACTAAGATGAAAAGGAGAATAATTAATAAGAAGAAGAATTATAGAAATAGTAAATGGAAAGTAATAATTTAATGGAAAATTCAGAAGAGAATTAAGAATAATAAAATGATGGATCTAATAGATCTCCATAAAATCATCAAAATATTCAAACTATAGATTTTGAATAGTAAAATCAAGAATAATAGGACTAATAAAGTTAAGAAAAATTATAAGATTGAATATTTTTATACTATATTGTAACATTATTATTTATTTTCATTTTATAATTTTATTACTTTTTAAAATTAAAAATATAATAAATATAAGAATTATTATATTTTTCGTACATAGTCAAAATCTAATTAAGATAAATATTATAAGAAAGTATTGATTATTATTTAATATATATATAACATGAATTTTAGTGACTTATTTCTGTTTATAATCATTATTGTCATTTTGTTAATGAATTAAATTCTAATAATTTTTAATTAACTGCTTTTATCTAAAATCTTCTTTTGTTAGTATTAGGCATACTTTATTAATCTCTATATGTTTTTTATAATAATTTCTTAAAAATATTAATTTTTTTTGTAGTAATTGGACGAATAATTGAATTTGTATTTGTATTTGTATTTGAAAATTGATCATATTAATAAATTGATTAATCTCTTAAACCAACAGATTTACTCATTAAGGAATTCCTGACTCCTTACTTCTCAAAATTAGCTGAAAATAACTTTATCTTTCTTTCTTCATTTTCGGAATCATAAAATGATTAAAAGCATTTAATTTATTTTTTATTTAATGAATTTCTAGATCCTTTGATTTCAACACTTCTAGATCTTTTAAATTTGATAGAATATTAATTTTATTCTCTTATTGAATTAGTATTAATTGATAAAAATTAATTCAATTTACTATTTTTTGAATTATTTTGTTATCGATAGTATTGCTATCTTGATAACTATCTCTTTAGATCTACATATCCTTTTGTTCTTTTAGATTTTATATTACTTAAATCAATAGAAGTATAAGAATCGTTTTCTTACTTTATAGTAATCTTATGTTCAACTACAAATTTACCACCTAAATCAGACTTTCTTAATAGATAAATTGTTTACTTTTATATAGCAGAATATTTTGGATTATAAATACAAATTGATTAATTAGTATTTCCTTTATTCTATAATTTATTTAGATATTCTCTAGACAAACCCTAACTGAAAGGTTATTATTTTAATGATTTTTTAGTTAGTTTATTAGGTGTTATTGTTATGAATTAAGGATTACATATTTTTTATATAGAGTATGATTTGCTTGTTCTTCCTATAAGATGTGCATATATTTAGGAGCTTGATTTTCCAGCTTTTGAATACATGTTTAAGAAGAAATCTTTTTGTTTCAGGCTCATTGTTGAAAATAATAAATATATATATAATTTTTAAGTTTCAATATCAAAAAAGAATTTAATCTAATAGAAAGACCAAAATTTAATAAAAAATGAATTGAATAATTAAATAATAATAGAGTGAATATGAAAGAATATATTATCATGAATAATATTTAAGTTCTATATATATAAAAATGGAAAAATTGTTTATCTAAACTTATAATAATTATTGTGATATATTATTCATTATAATTGATAGTATAACTTGAAAGAATATACTTTATGATATTTATATCTATAGATACTGTAGTCATATAATAAGATATATTGATTCATTAAATTTTATATAAAAATTTAGGAAGAATAATTTATATCAGATAAAATTATGAATATGTATTAGTAATTCTAAAAATAAAGATTAATATATGTAGTTAAGATACAAGCATTAATTTACATGTATTTATAAATAAGAAATTATTGAAGTAAAAATAAATGATTTTATAAAATATATTAATTATTCATTTTCCTCTATATCGCTAAATAATTATAAATTCTATATGTAATTAAGTCTATGAATTATTGTTTAAGAAATCAACTCGCTTAATAAAGGTAGTATTATTCATTAAAATTTTATGAATAAAAAATCATATTCTAATTCTTTAAAGATGGTTTCTTTAAAATGTACTTAAATAAAATAGAAATAATTTAACTAATGGAGATATAAAAATAGGATTAGAGTATCCAATAAATTTGTTATTTTATTTTCAGTGTATAATATTGAAGAATTGACAGATATATATATATATTCAAAAATCTAGAAGTTTAATGATAGAAACTATATATAATTATGATATGATTGTCAAAATATTCGTTTCTTTGGGTGAATATATTGAAAGATGGAAATATCAAATAATTTAATATTATGTAAATTTAATAGCACTATTCTTAGTTGATAGATGAATATAAAATGCACGATTCAAAGAGTTTATTTTAGAAAATGGAAGGAACATTGGCTGAAAAATTATGTGTTAAAGAATTACTAAAAGAATAAGTCATAATCTATATCTAAAAAACAAAGGAATTTGTACAAAAAGAGATTGTGATTTCTTTCAACTCTTTAATAATAGAGAATTAATTCATAGAGTTGAGCAAATGTTAATTTGAGTAGAGAGTAAGCAAGCCTAAAAATAGTGAAGGATTTAATATCATTATTATTAAGAATGCTACTTGTAAAGAATTCTTAATTACTTCAAATCCTCAACAGTGTCTTAGATTAAAGATCTATCTAAAAAAATTTTGTGTTCACAAAAATTACAGTGGAAGATATCGATTTATTGAACAGAAAAACTGTCTACCTCTTTCCCAATCATATAAAGTATTAAAATATATACATAAAATTAGAAAAATAATCAATATTTCTCAACAATCAAATTCGAAAAGAAATAACTAGAAGAAAATTAAGAACTACAAATATTTCACAATTAATTAACCATCATGCATGCGTTTTAATTAATGCCTAATATCTTTAGAGTATGTGAAGATGCTTAAAGATATTATATATTAGGAGAAAACATGAAATTATAATCTTTGGAATCACTATTATTGAATGGATTTGAATTTAAAGAAGTACCATTTGTATCCATTATTTTCATGATCTTATAAACCATTCAAAAATATCAAGCTAAATCTATCTATCATGGAAATATCAATCTATAGAATATCTATATAAATACTGATAGCTAAACTCTTTAAATTACTTTACTCTTTCCAAAATATAATGAACATAATACTAAAAATATAGAAAAAGATATTTTTAGTCTAGGGAAATTACTCTATTAAATTACATTTTATACTTAGAAAGGTGAAATAATGAAAGATGTTAATCTAAAATTAATTTAATCCTTAATGGATAAATGGTCAGAACCAAATTCGTAAAGAACTCAATATAAATTTCTATATCGTATTAGTTAGCTTGATTTATTAAATTAATTACTTTCTTCTAAAACGACAGTAGAGTTAGCTTTGATTCATTAATGGTTTGTGAACATTAGATAAAACCTAAAAATTGAATCTAAATAACTCATGTCTAAAGCTCTTCTTGCAACAATCATGGAAGAATAAGAATTTCATATTACTTCTTCCCAATTTTTAGATAATCAAATTACAATCACTTAATAAAGTGGTTAAGATTATGGTAATAGAAAAATATAATTATATAGAACCTGAAGAAGAACTTTATCCTATTCGATGTTAATTGATTAATACAATTCAAATGATACCTTCTAAATAAAAACATGATGATGCTAAATTATATTTGTATAGATCGAAGACATTTGCAAGTTCAACGATTAAAAGAGACTCTTTTCCAGAAATTACAAAATAATGGACTTATAAATGATTAGATGTTAATTGAGAATATTATGATTAAATCAAGATTGTAAATTACACAAATATTTTTATATTGTATTTTAAATGCATAGAAATTGAAAATAAGGAAATATATACCAGTTTATAAAAAATACTAACTGGATTTGTGATATTTAAGAATAATGAATCTCTATTTTATTAAATTAAAGATATTTTATATTTTTAATGGGTGGAGATAAACACGATTTGAGTTATTATGTTAAATGTATGATTGGTGGCACCTTAGCATGTGGTCTTACACATACTGCAATTGTCCCATTAGATGTTGTCAAGTGTAGAAGATAAGTACATTATCATGATAATCTTTGTTTAGGTTTTCCCAACTTTGTACAAATCTTTGGGTGATGGATTAAGCACAATTTATAAAACTGAAGGATTTGGTGGACTTGCATTGGCTTGGGGACCAACATTGATTGGATACTCACTTCAAGGATTAGGAAAATTCGGATTCTATGAAATCTTCAAAGATGTTTATAAATCAGTTGTAGGAGAAGAAAATGCCAATAAATATAGAAGAATCGGTTGGTCTATTGCTTCAGGAAGTGCTGAAATCATTGCTGATACTCTCTTATGCCCAATGGAAGCAATCAAGGTCAGAATGTAAACATCTAAACCAGGTACATTCACAACAAGTGGATCACAAGCATTTAATTAAGTTAAATCTAATGAAGGTAATAATAATAAATAAATAATTTTAAGGCATTAATGGACTTTATAAAGGTTTAGGACCACTTTGGGCTAGATAAGTTCCATATACAATAGTCAAGTTTGTTGCTTTTGAATAAATTGTTGCATTATTCTATGAAAATGTATTCACAAAACCAAAGGATTCATATTCTAAATTTACTTAATTATCAGTAACATTTGCATCAGGATATTTGGCTGGTATCTTTTGTGCTGTTGTTTCACATCCTGCTGATACAATTGTATCAAAATTAAACTCAATTTAAACAGGAGGTAAATAGATTTTATTATTTTTAGGATCTTTGGGTGAAAACGTTGGTAAAATTTATAAGGAAATTGGATTCTCAGGATTATGGAGAGGATTAGGCACTAGAATTATTATGATTGGTACACTCACTGGTTTATAATGGTGGATTTATGACAGTTTCAAAACAGCAGTAGGATTATAAACTACTGGAGGTGGAAGTAGCAGTGCACCAAAACCTTAAGAAACCAAGCATTGATATATATTAAATTTTATATCAATTCAAGCATTTATAAAATCATAAAATAATAATATAGAGCTTATTTATTTTCTTTTAATTTTCTAATTCTATAATTTTATTTATATTTATTCATTTAATTAACATTTATTAATTGATTATTGTTTAATTTCTCTTTATTATTTCTAAATATATATGAATCTAATAATTAAGGTCATAGAATTATGATTAAACACACTTAAATCTTATAATTTATTGTATCAATACATTAATTAATAATCTATTAAATTATATATATAAAAGTTATTGTATTTATTTTAATTATTTTTATGTAAGCCCAATACTGCATAGTCATTAAATTTGATAAAGCTAATAATACCTATAGACCCAATGTAATTTTTGATGTTACAATCAGGATTTCATATCTGGGCAAGCTACTATTACTTTCACAGATCCTAATTAGAAAAGAATAGAGATTTCATCATTGAAATGGAGATCTGAAGGTGCAATATCTTGTTAGAATAAGGATTCTCACAAAGAATTATAAAAGATTATGCAAAACTATAATCCTTAATTACTTCATTTGAATCAGGGAGAATTCACACAAGAAAAATATATGTTTGATTATAATTTAAATTAGTTTACAAGAGAAAAACACTTTTTAATTCAAATATTAATTGACCCCTTACGGAGATAGTAGAATATTGGAAACATATGTTGGTGTATATGTTGCTATTGCATATGAAATTTAAGTTGAATTAATATTGAATAATGGTATTGCAGTTCGAAATTCTACACCATTTTATGTTTAATGTTTAGGAATTGATAAAATTGGTTAGCAAATTAATTTTAAGGAACTTTAATTAAAATAAGAATAATTTATTATAACTCCTGATAGACTACTTGGTAATTAGAGTGTACAAAATAAGTAGAATGCAAAATTCAAGATTCATGGAATAATTGATTCTGCAATATGTTAATTTTAAGAAGGATTTAATGGAAGTGTTAATGTGGAGGAATGTGAATCAGAGATAAGAACAATAGATTTGTAAATGATTAGAGTAGAGAAACTAGAAAATAGATTTGGGAAAGTATTGGAAGCTACTGAAATACAATTAATATAGATAGTAGATGGAAATATTACTAAAGGAATTTAAGTACCATTTAATATGATATTTCCAAAATTCTTTTCATGTTCCAATTTTCAATTTAAAGAATTCAGTGGTAATAAAATTGAAATTTATTTTTAGTTGATTTTGAAGTAAACTTAGTTGTGATAATGTATGATGGGTTTAAAATAACTCTCAATTTTCCAATACATATAATAAGGAAGTGATAGATATTATTTACATAAGAGATATATATATTTATATATTATTATTATTTAATATTTTTAAAAAGACAACTTATTAATTAATAATTAATATAATGATGAAAAGTGTTTTACAAACTCATTCTTTGAGATAAATTGTAGGTTAACTTCTAGATAATTGCTATGAAGTTTTAAAAGCCTTTTTGGAATAAGCCATTCAACATGATGAAGTTTCTTAAGATAACATCATTTAAATTAATAAAGATTTGATGGGTGCAATATCCTTCTATATTAGCAATTATGAATTCATTTAGGGTATTTATCAATTCTATGGTGATATAAAGAGTAAACTCATAGCAATTCTAAATTTTTGAGAAATTTACTATTCGAAGTGAAACATTATAGGAATAATTGGGCTCATTCTAAAGATTTTACTATTCGAGAAGTTCATAGGTTTATAAAACAAAAGATTATTTAGAATAGCTGATACTATTTTGATGATGTTTGATGAATTTAGTTTGAATATTACTAATGAAGTGTATTTGATAGTGAATTAAATAAGAATGGAGTCTATTTAAATGATGAGTTTATAATTACAATAATCATAAAAATATTGAAATTATATTATATTTATGTAGCCTAATCAAAATTAAGCTCCGATTACAGGATCCGTTGAGATTATTAAAGGTAAATAACTCTCTTGTATCTTTAGATAAACTCTATTGGATTTCTGATAAATAAGCACCCAGAAATTAGCCAAATGCATTCTATTTTTGCATTGATCAGGTATTAAATAGAATCTAATTTGTTTTCAGGATCTTGTGTATGAGCCCTTTTTTGCAGATTTTGGTCCATTAAATTTAGGTCATACTTACAGATTTGTGACAGAATTAGAGAAATTACTTGGTGATAAGACATATTAATAATATGCTATTTATCATTATACAAGTTTGGATAGTGCTAAAAGAGCAAATGCTGCCTATTTGATGGGAGCATTTTAAGTGATAATCTTGAAAATGAGTGCAGATGATGCATGGAAACCATTCCAATCTGTAAAACCTGCATTCTAAGATTTTAGAGATGCTAGTTATGGATAATGTACTTATAAATGCACAGTATGTTTATTTAAATATTAATTTAGATTTTACATTGTTTAAGAGGTTTAGAATATGCAATAAAGTTGAAATGGTTTGATGTTAGAAAATTCAATCTTAGAGATTATGAATTTTATGAAAGAGTAGAAAATGGAGATTTAAATTGGATTGTTCCTAATAAATTTATAGCTTTCTCAGGACCATCTGCAACATAAAAAGATGCTGATGGAGTAAGTAATATATCTCTAATTAGAATCGTACATTCACTCCTGAAGAATATGTACCAATCTTCAAATAATTTGGTGTGACTTGTGTAGTCAGATTGAATAAAAAAGCTTATGAAGAATAAAGATTTATAAAAAATGGAATAAAACATGAAGAAATATACTTTCTAGATGGTTCAGTTCCAGGAGATGATAAGATTTTAAGATTCCTTGAAATTGCTGAAAAAGAGAATGTGGTGGCTGTACATTGTAAAGCAGGATTAGGTAGAACAGGAACATTGATAGCAGCATATGTGATGAAACATTATAGGTAAATAATTTATTAGAAAATATATAATAGATTTCCTGCTCCAGATTTTATAGGTTGGATCCGTATTTGTAGACCTGGAAGTATTTTGGGACCATAACAAATCTTTTTATTAGTAATTTATTAATATTTATATTAATATAGCAAAAACAAAATTGGTTAATCAGTTTAGGAAAAGATTCTCCTATATGGAATTAAGTTAAATAGATTGCAGCTGAAGTCAATATAGAAAAGAGATTAAAAGATTTACAATTAGGACCTATGAGTGAGGGTACAATATATAATATATATAAATTTAGCTGATAAGAACAAGGCAGAAAAAGGTGATTAAGATTAGGCTTAAACATTGAATAAAGCAAAATTAATGAAGTAATTTAATATATAGATAAATTCTTTAGTTAATCCTCAAATTCACCTGGTTTGAAAAAATGAAAGATTAATTATCATGTTATTAAATAAATTTAGCCAATCCCAAATATATAAATATATCTCCATAAAAATACATTTTAATATAGTTAATCATTTATACTTTTGATTAATCTATAAAGATTGAAATTCTATTTTTATCATATATTGTAATAATATATCTAAGAATTCATCAAATAATGATTTTAGTTAGTAATTCTTATAATATCAATTATAGTATTAATTTCAAAATTAATTCTTATTTCAATCGTAAGTTAAATTTTAATTTTGTAAATTAAGTTAAGTATAAATCTGATTCTACTAATCTTATTGCCTATAAGATTATTTTTAATTTAACAATCTTAATTTTATCTATGAAATCATTCTATACATAACTTACATCCTCCAATAATGTTTTCATCTATTAATTTTGACCCCACTTAAGTAAAAATTTGAAATATAATTTATAATAATAGAATCTGAGAAATTAGTATATCTAATATATATTCTAATAAGTAATTAAATTATTAATTAAAATAAATGATATTATAACTAAAAATAAAAAAGTTCAAAATATTTTAGTTTAGTAAAAATGTGATTTACAAGGTGTCTTTCCTTCTATAAGTGCTGTATTTTTCTTTAACAAATCTGGTATACTTTCATTCAACATTTGTATATCTAAATAAATAGATAGTATATATATTACATTTAATAAATTTCTATAATTTCTAAAAATATTATTAACGGTTCTGGATGTCTGTTTCTATACCACAATGACCAACATTTTCAGGAATCCATAATTCATACAAATTATTTGTTTTGCTAGCTAATTGCCTTGCATGTTCATCAGATATAATTTTATCATTGGCACCATGCATAATGAATACTGGACATGAAACTAATTAAATTCTATCAATATTAGGGAACATATCATAAAATGGAGTTTCATCTATCTTATTAGATATAACCCTTAAACCAGAACTAAACCCACTCTATATTATAAGTCCACCAATAGGATATTAAGGATTGGAAGCCAATGTTACACTTGGTCCAGATCCAATGCTATATCCATAAACAATAATTTATGTAGCCTTGTATCCTAATTAATGGATCAAAAAGTTATAAGCAGTATAAACATTACGAATGATGTTAATATCATTACTTACTCCATCACTCTATCCATAACCACTGTACTCATAGGCAAAAACACTGGTGTTTGTATGCTAGACTAATTCTTAAATAATTAATAAATATAGTAATACTTATAAGTTTGTCAATCATCATACCCAAATCACAAGCATTTCCATGACTGAATAAAATGATTTATTCACTATTTCGATTTAGATAGACACATGCCATTTATTTGTTTTTCTTTTAATTTAAAAAATAGGCTGTAACACTACAAATATCAGAACTAACAATAAAATCTTCATTTTGATCTTTTGATTTATCTGATGAAAGTTTGATAAAATCATATTCTGGATACTCTCTTATTGTTATGATAATATACAATTTTACTCAGAATTTCTTATATATCTTCTTCTTCTTTAGATATATTAAGATTAAGTTTTTCTGTGAGTCTATGATTAATTGTTTTAAGATTGATCAGAAATTTAGTTATCATCTGATGATATGTATTTCTATTTTGTATGACTCTTATGATTATTTGATTTTCTCAATCTTAATTCATATGATGCTTCAGGTGGTCGAAAAGCTACAAAATGAACCAACTTATTTCTTAATCCACACAAACCAAATGATTATAATATTCCTGTTACAAAATGTTACATTAAATTAATTTATTATTAACTTATAAAATTATATTATGATGCCAAGTAAATTTTATAAAAGAAGTCTAAGCACTAGAAATGAAGATCATTCCAAATAGTAAACTATTTATAAACATCCTTAAATTAATCTAACTCCTATAAAAAAAAGAGTCAATCTAAGTAGGATAGATGGTTATGAGAATATCATTTCCTAACTTTATACACCCAGATAAATTAAAAATATTGGTTATTCACCTAAGATTATAAAATAAAGTACCTATTAAGAAGAAACTCAATTTAATAATATTGTATAAGGTTATTTTTTACCAACTCCTAGAAAAATTTCATTATAATTTAACAAAATTATTACTGAACCTACCACTTTTAATAATAGTCCAATTAGGAAATAAGAGAAAAATTGTATCATTTTAAAAAATAATAAAACTGATTAAGAATATGATTTAGATAAATAATTGAATATTCCACAGAAAATTAGATTATATTTTAGTTGTCAAAAATTACAAAAAAGATTCTTTAAATTATAAGAATTACTTCAATTTATTAGCATTAAATCGATATAATAATATTTGAATGACTAAAATTCAAATACAATTGATTATGTTGCAGTAATCATTTTATTTCATTTTTTTATAGGAATTTGATATATAATACAAACAATTCATTCTAACTGAATTCTTATGTATAATCTTATATTTCTTAATGAAATATAATTTAATCAAAAAGGATGAATTGGGTAGATTAGAAAAACTAATCTTGTATTAACATTAATAAAATGCATGTAATGTTATTCATAAACTTTAAATTCATGTCCCAGGATTTAAGACCTATATGCATTTGTTCTATTAACTACAATAAGCCAATCCATTAATTCCTAAGTAGATAGATTTACTCAATAAATATATTGATAAAACAATTGATGATTTAATTAAGTACAAAGTAATTCATTTATGAAGAACTATTGTTAATTATTAATTGCAGTAATAAATTAGAGAATTCCTATTTATGAAGATTGAATAAAAAACAATTGATTTTTTAGATAAATTGAAAAAAATTATAGAGTAAATTTAGGAACATCTATATTTCTTACCTAAAAATGAAAAAGAATACACATTAATATTAGATTTAGAAGAAACCTTGATTCATATAGATGATAATTCTTAAATAAAAAAAAGACCTTTTTTGTAAGAATTTCTTGAAGAACTTAGTAGATATTATGAAATTGTTGTTTTTAGTCATCTACCATAATTAGAAATGGATAAGTATTTAATTCTCTTTATTTAGAATTATTCAATAAATAGATTAAAATTCAACTATCAAACATAAGCTTAATAGAAATCATTTAATGAAATATGAAAAAGTATTAATTAAAGATTTAACATTGTTGGGTAGACCTGCAAATAAGTATATAGTTGTAGATAATGATCCTTTTAATTTTCTCTTAAGTCCATAAAATGGTATTTAAATTAGATCTTGGTATGGAGAATAAGGAGATCATGCCTTATAAGATCTATAACCTTTTTTAGGTGATCTACGTCTATATAAAGATGTTAGAATTGGATTAACTTAAGTTAAAACATACTCTCAATACTTTTTCGTACCCTTATGATAAGAATATTATTCTGTTTTCTTCTTTAAATAATAATAATTAACAATTTATAATTAATCAAAAATAATTAATGGAATAATTAGAATATTTCTTAATTTATTCTGAATATAATTCAATTAATTTTTCTAATTCTTGGATGTGTTATTTATATATATTTTATTATTTAAATTTCTTTATTTTTTTAAAATTAATATACATCTATATATTTATTGTATAATATTTCTATTCATTATATAATTTCTACTTAAACTTAATAAAAATATAACAAATTTAATTTAATCAAATTTATATAAATAATTTAATATAAAATCAAAATTTATTCTAATTTTTTCTTAAGGTTGTTTAAGTTGATTGGAGTGTTGATTTAGTTGATTGAAATGGAGTTGTTATAAGACTGGTTTGTTTCTTTTTGATCAAATATTTTTATGGAGATGGTCTGGGTGTTTATTATAGAAAATTGATTGTCTATAATGATATTATAGAATTGTTTTTGCTGGATGTGGTTGAGTGATTTGATAATAAATTGGGTCTTTTTTGGATTGGAGTAAGATATTTGAATTCTAATTAAGTCTTTTTTTTCATAAATGGTCTAAGTGTTAATAACTAATCTTAAGTTGGATGTTATGATTTAGTAAATAATTAATTGATTTTTAATAAGTCAGAAACTAATTTGGATCTTGTTTCAAAAGATAATCTAGTATTCTTATTATATTAATAATAGAAGTACTTTGATTTAAAATATAAGATCTTTTCTATTTGAACAATAACATAAATATCTTAAGAGATTCACAAAGTCTGTAGAATAATAATTGTCATCTCCTATTTCTCTCATTCTTCTCATCATCTTTCTAAAAACTAATCAGTGTAATTTGACATCATTACTTTGAGATGTCGATTCATCTTTGATTACTTATTTAAATTCATCTAAATCAATGCATTCTTAATTTAATATAATATATTACTATTCCCATCTCTATCTGTTTTTTCAAAAAATGCTTTAAGTAGACTCATATTTACAGGATAATTATTTTTCTTTAACATTGAATACAACTCATCCAACTCAATAGAATCTTGCATTTTTATTAAGATTCATCTCTTACTCGAATGATCTCTGTCAATCAAATGAAAGGTTTCTGTTAAGATTACATCATCAAACAATTCCTTCTCTGTTTTCAAATATTTCTCTTTTGTTTTATTAGCATGTCTTGAATTAAACCAGTTCTTGCTTTCACAAAAATGTAGAACTCTTTCTGCAGGAGGCAATATTTACATTAAATAATATATTATTTTTATTGTTTTTGATAATGGAATTCCAATATGCAAATGTTATTTAAGCATAAATTAAGTACATCTTAGATTCTTCATTCAAACTTATATCCGAAAAGATATTATGCAGAAATGTGACTCTCTTAACTGAATGGCAAACTTTTACAACATCCCATAGTATAACATAACTATAATTTCAAAAACATGACTTCGATAAAGATATAATAGAAGATCTAGAAATTAAACCAACATCTTAAGAGAACTTTTAAGCTTATAAAATCAATCTCAATGAAAAAGTACAATCTACTTCCAGAATGAATACTGCTGCTTAAAAATCTCATAAAACTCATTTTAAACCTCATACTACTTAATTCAATTGGGATAAAGAGTATCATTATTCATTAATTCATATTCCTGAACCTGAAGTAATCATTTCAACTGCAGATGAATAACTTAGAAGAATGAAAATTTAATAAATTAATGAATCCAATAAATAAAAAGAGTTATAGCAAATATAACTTAAAGAAAAGAAAAAATTAAATGAAATGAATCTCAGATTAAAATAATAATTAAGTAATAAAGAATATACATACGATTATAATTGTTAACTTATTATAAATAAACACTCATAATTATAAACTGATATTGTACCTCAACTTAAATTTGAAATTTTAAAGGAAGAATAAAACAATTAATTTAAAAAGAATTCAAAAAAGAAAAAAGAAGAAATATAATAATAAGTAATTAAAAAAAGATCTAAAGAACCATTAATATCATAAAATACTATGAATTTTGGAGAATCCAAATCCTTTTTTCTAAATAATGAAGATGAAAATTTTGACAGATAAACATCTAATATTCCATTTATCAAACTTAGTAGAGGTGTTAGATTAACAGAAGATAATCATGAATTGTAATTTGATGTTCAACCACAACCTAAATAATTATAAATATAAAGAAAAGAATCTATTCATTTAGAAACATAAAATTAATCAACTTATTTGAGATTTAATATCTTAGAAAAATCAAAAGAAAAAGTTATAAAAAGTAATAAATCTTGTATTAAAACTGAAAGAAATTATGAATATTTAAAAGTTGAAAAAGATGATAGTACTTATAGATTCAAAACTTCTGCTTAGCAAAATGTTAATAAAACATAATAGGCTCATTAATTAATTATTGATAATACTATTCTTAGATAAGATCTTGTAAAATTGCCAAAAGTTCGATCTAGATCAATTAATATTAGAAGTAAAAAAGATAGATAAATTGCAATTCACTCTAAGGATCAAATAACTAATTAAAATATTTGATAATTTTTTTCAATTGATTGTTTATTTTTATTATATAAATTTTGTTTCTTTTGTAAATATATCGATTTCTCAAAATATTAAAATATGTAATACAACACCAGTATTATATTAATAATTTTTTTCAAAATATGGAGCAAAAATTATAATTATTATCTTCCAGCATTCAAGTTGACCCAAGCAATCCTTAGATTCCTTAAAATTTAAAACACTTGAAAGTATTCAATTATTTTCTAATGTCTAGCTTGAAATTTTTAATGAATTAGCTGTAAATAAATTGGGAACAGAAAAATTAGCTTGTAAGTTATATTTTATATTATAAGTACATTTCTGTGAATTGGAAGTCACTTATTTATTAATTTCAAGACAAATTGAAAATTTTGAATTAGCAATTGAAAGATTAATGAAATTTTATAATTAAGGTCTAGAAAGCAAAGATAGAGCTCATTATACAGGCATTTATTTAATTTATTTACTATCTTTTAATAAGTAATTAAGTTAATAATTCAATAGATTTGCTTAATATTATTCCTAAATTGAATTGTTACCAAAAGAAACATTTTCAAACCCTTTTGTTCACTTTGTACTTTAATTAGAATACAAATTGAGCATAGGAAGTTATTCAGATCTTTTAGGTGATTATCATCCAACAGGAATTGAGAATGTATTCTTAGAAAGAATTATGGATACTATTAGGTTATATATATATTTAAATTTAGATTATAAACAGCATTAAGTGCCAATGCATCTTACAAATAATTATCAATAGAAAATGCTATTAAATTATTTAATGTGAAAAGTGTTTAAGAATTGTAATAATTTGCTTAGAAATAAAATTTCAAATGGAAATTTAATAATCATCATGTTTATTTTGACAATGTAAATAATCTAAAATATTTATTAATAGGTTTAAAATGTAGAAAATCCCTTAAATTCAGAATTTTTGATAACAAATTCTTTAAGATATGTTCATGAATTTGATAAAATTATATGAAAAAGTAGTAGTTATCAATATAATCTTATAAATAATAAATATAATTATTTTATGTTCCCAATTCATGTATCTGATATAAAAGATTCTGGTTTATTAATCTTTGGTAAAATTTAGAAACTATTTTTTGTTTCTCTATTATAATTTGTAACACTATCATTTTATTAATAAGGACTAAATGCAGAATTATTTAACTATGAAAATCTAATAAATAGATATATTATAATTACATTTTATTTTAATTTTATTCTAATTCATTTTTTTATAAAACAGATATAGTTTATTTTTATTAATTAACATCCTTTCTTAAAGCATTTTATTTATTCATTAATATTGGTAATTCAGTTGAAGTTCGTTTTATATTTACAATACTTTTTGGTTAATTAACTACTTTATTCTATATATTTGTATTCTTTATATAGAATTGTATTATACTTGATGAACTTAAGAACTCTTTGAAGAACTTCTAATTTATTTATCATCTTTATCTTTTTTTACTCCTTCTTAACTTTTTATTTATTACTAAGGAGTCATTTAGCTTAATCTTATAGCTAATATAAATTAAATTTAATTACCATATGTTTTGGCTAATTTTTTTAAATTTATTTTTCTATTATTAAAAGTACCTAAAAAAGATATTTATGAAGCGAAATATTATGATTTAATTGGTCCTCCTTTGTATATTAAATCAAATCCTCCAATTTATTCTTCATTTCCAGTTAATATCTTTTCTAGATCGATGATTGTATAAACATCATCAAGCAACCCACATTTTAATTCAAAATCAATAGGAGTATTAGAAGTCATTGAAGGACTTTATTAAATTAAATATATATTAACCTTGCATTAACTTCTAATAGCCATGGCTTTAATTAAGAATCAAATAGAATATCAAATCCATATAATTCAAAACAATGTTTATCATTTATGATAATTTTTTATACTGCTTATAATGATTTAATCATTAATTATTGGATATTATAAAAACATTCTTAAACTTTTTCTTATCCATATTTTGTCATTAAAAATAATTTTAATTTTTATAAATCCCATTTGCCACCCAATTTTTCATCATAATTATCTGATGTTTTTTATATTGCAACATTTGTTAAATGTACATCTAAAATTGATTTATAATTAATACATGTATTAGTAATGTCTTCATTATCATATCTATGATGAGTGAATCTAGCAAAACCTGTTCTATATAAATATAAAGTTAAAGGAGAATAGGAAGTGCATAATAAATAAATTCTAGCATCAAACTTTTTACCTCCAATCAAAAGAGGATCTGCTATATATCTTTAAACTATATAAGATTCAGCAGATGGGTTTTCTGGATTAAATTTAACTTAATTTTTCCATTAAGAGATTTGTTGTATTTTATTAAATAAAAATATGCCTCTTCCTTATGATTTTCCTATCTTATATTATATGTTATAAAATATACAGGTTTCATAATCCAAGCAGTTTTATTATCACCCTATTTCTTGAATTCTTCATTAAAGATTGGATATTCACTTGGTAAATGAAATGTAAGTGGGAAAAAATTATAACTAAATCGTTAAAAGGAATATTAATATACGAATTAGCTTCATCTATTTTTCCTTCCTTTTCTAACATCCTTTTTTATTTTTTAAGATTTTTTATCATCAAATCTTTTCGTGTAAGCTACTTAATAATTCTATAATACTTCGTAGTGATTACGAAAATGATTTATTTTTTAATGCTGTTGAAGATGTATATGATCCATAACTTCATGTATCCATTCTTTTTCTGCCCACATAATATCCCAATCATCACCATCAGTTTCTTTCCAATTTCTTCTTTTAAAAGCCTATTATAGTATTAATTAATAATTGATACTTCTAATATACAATTTCTAAAAGAAGTCTTATATTTAATATTTGAACTAAAAAGGATAGATATGAATATATAATTACAAATGATTTGGATAATTCTCTTTTTTGATATACTTTCTAAAGTATTCAGACATAATAATTATGTTTAATTTAAATTTATATAATATTTTACTTTTGAATCACAATAGACTCATAGAATTTTTATAGTATATAAATGTAAATTGAAATAATGAAATCAAAAAACTCAAATATTAATACTTAAATCATTATCATTATCATCATATTGAATCTTAATTATTTCTATATCAGAACTATTATTCAAAACTTATTTATGATATCTTTTCAGATGTTTTTTTAATAAGATATATGATTAAAAATCTCTAAAACATAAGAAACAACTGAAGATATAATAATTCTAACAATGCTTCTTTAAAATATGAGGAAAATAAACTCCAGAAAACCCTTAAAAATCACAAGAAGGACATTAAATAATTTTTTATCCATTTGCTTTTTAGATTACCATTTTCTTATTTTCAATTCTATTTACTACTAATTTTATCATATTTCTTAGTTCCTTAAACTTATTTTTACTATGATAATTCTTAATATATTCAAAATCACAACTTTAAGGTTTTATTGTTAATTTATTTCTCTATCTAAATTCTTAAATAATATGATTGAGTTTTTAATAACCCTCTTAGGGAGTTAATTTTAATTGAGTATTATTATCTAAAATTACATTTTAATGATGATCAGAAATTATTTAATTTACTACTTCTCCAGATTTATCATTATTAATATGTTTTTTCTTTTATTTTTTATCACCTAATTCAATTTAATTCTTTTGTTCTTCTAACAATATTTTAGTTGTATGTAATTCTTCATCTTTATAAGAATCATCATTTTTAAAGAGGATTGTTGTAAGCATTTAAGTACAATCAAGTTGCATTTCCAATATTTTTTTTAATATGGTCCTAATTTCTTCGTTCATAATATAGATAATATAACGATTATTTAGTATTTATTGATTGATAACTGTTCATTAAATGCAAAATATAATAGAACATTTTATTATCAAATTATTATAAACCATAAAAGAATAAGCAAATTCAAGATTATAATTTCTATATCATTTAATTTCTTTATATCACTTTATTTTACAATATTTCCTTTTTGTATTTCTCAAGAAATTCTAATTCTTATTTATTTTTATCATTTTTTTGAGAAATCTCGAGATTTTTTTCTAAAATTTTATTTTATTTATGTATTTTCTCTAACATATTTTCCATTTATTTTTATTTAGCCAATTTAAATCGATGTTCATTTTTTTCACATAGATTCTACTTTCTTAAATCTAATAATGATTAATGTCTAATTTAATATATATTATTTTTTAATACCTCTTTAAACCATTTTCTAATTTATCATCAGCTTCTTAAAGTTTTGTAATTAAAGAATCAGATCTTTTCTAATCTAATGAATTTTAGTATTATTCATATTTTTTCATAATTCTACTATTTTTCATAGATAAATTTTATTATTATTTTATTTGAGATATTTCATGTTTATTAAGTTAAATCTAAATATTTTTTAAATTATTATAATTACTTATCTTTATGTTGATTTACTTAAATACATTTAAACATTTTAATTTTCTTTTTATGTATAAGATTATTATAATTTTTTCTATTTCTCTTCAAACATCTTCAAACTTTATTATTATTTTTTTCTATCCTCCATTTATTTTCTTTATAAATAATCATTCAAATAATCTGATTTCTTTTTCATAGAATCCATCACTTATTCAATCATGCTCTACTCTTAACTTATTTACTTTTATCTCTTCAATTATCTTTCTCTTTCCTTTTCTTCTTTCTTTTTTATTTATTCTAATTATTCATCTTGAGATTATAAGAGTTATTTTTATTTTCTCTCAAAATGTAAATCCAAATCTTTTTCTAATTCCTAAATCACTTTTTTATGTTCTCTATATTATACTTACTCTTCATATTTATTTTTTTGACATATCTAATCTACTTTTAAATTCTTTCTTCTTAATTTCTTTCTAATTTAATCCAATTATTTTAATCTAAGTTATTCTGCTTTTTAATATATTTCAGGAGCTGTCTTACTATAATATTCTTCTTACTTATTAATCTAATCCTAAACAATATTTAGAAATCTATTAATATTAATTATGATACTATACTTATTATAATTTTCAGATTCCTTGTTTACTTTTTTATTGAATAATTCTTTTCTTTGATTAGCACTAAGTATAACTGATATTTATTGATCTTCTCTTTGAGTTTTCTTAGATTCAGATTATTCAGCAATTAAAGATTCATCTTGATATTTAATATTCTTAGAATTTATTTGTTTTGTAACTTAAGATTAAATATGTTTGATTTGATTCCTTCGTTTAAGAAGATCATTCAATATTTTATATTTATTAGTTACATATTGTAAATATTAGACAAGATTTTAAAGAGGATTAAGTTTCTTTTAATAAAAGTCTGTATATTCTTGAACATTTAGATCATCTACTTCTATTTTAAGCATTTCCATAGCAGCTAGAGTTCTAGGAGAGTTAGTATCAAATTGCATTTGAAAAACAGTCAATAAATTAGGATTTCTTATGATATTATGCTTTTGATCATGTTCCAAATAATTAGATTCAATGGCAGATTTTAATTAAGCATTCGAGATAGTTGGAAATCTTTATTTCTTATGGTTCCCTAATAAATTCTTGGGACTAGATTCACTACTCTAATAAACTGAGTTTATTGATTCTTATTTTGTAATGATGATATCACTTTTTTCTTTTATATAATCAAGCATATTATTTTAGTTTTAATTTTTATTGATAATGGCATTCTTAAAATTATGTAATATATTTTGCAATCACAAAATTACTTATTCTTTTTAGTTATAATTATTTTACATTTTATTTTGATTCACAAACTCATGAAGCACCATTAATGTTTCATATATTAATTAAATTAAGATAACATAATTTTCTATAAGTTATATGAAAATATATAAAAACTTAAGGATTTCTCAATGATAGATAGGCAGAACTTATTTTCTGATTACAATAATTTATCTTTTCCACAATCTCTCAGGAATGCATTTCCATCTTCTTGTTAGTATTTTGATAAAGATGTTGAGTGGTAATGAAAGGAATATCAAAATAAAAGTTACTAATAATTGACAGGATGATAAATTACTACATTTATAGATAACATAATATACTTAATGAATCCTGAAGCTGTCAATTTCAATATCATTGAACTCATATTTAAACATAGACATAATTTGATCATCTATTTCTTATTGATTAAGGTATAGAAGAACAGTGGTTTTTCCAGAACAATTAATATATCAGATATGATGTAGAGATGAAGTGAAATAATAAATTCTGGATTCCATTTATAGTAAATGGTCATATAGATGATTGTACAGCCAAAAAGTATGAAGACCATTCCAAACAAATTAGAAATTATGAGAGCATTGGCTAATTTAAGAGTTTTAAAGTCATTTTCACTTAAATTATATTCAGATGGACAAGTATTTTGATCATTTAGTCCATTAATATAAATTTGTTGTTCATTTGAATCCAAATCTGTTTTAGTTTGAGAGTCTAGGACAATAGATGTTACTTAATTGATCTTTTTCATTTTTAATGGCTTCTAAGATATAGTTTTATGGATGTAATTCTAATTATTGTTTTGAATCTCAAAATAGAAGCAGAATTTGAACCACATTTTGATTTAAAGCATATTAGATAATAGATATTAGATGTATGAATTAAAATAAGATATTTTCTTTTAATTTTTGAATAATTCGTCATAATAAGAGAATTAAAGAGTTTAATTTGAATTGATTTAGATTGAATAATATATATTGAAGAATATAATTAATAAATTAATTGTAATGTTAAAAGAATTATTAACAGAAGATAGAGAGTTAATAGAAATAAATTATTACTTTAGAAGAAGAATTGAATTATTTATTAAGTTATTTAAAAGAAGATTCTAAGAATATTAGTAATACTTATGATGTAAAGTGTTTGAAAATAGAATTTAAGATATAGAAATAGATGGAGAATAAAAGCTAAGATAAAGTAAATAATTAACAATGTTGCATTGATTAATATGGGATTGATAAATTTAATGATACATTAAAAGAAGATTATAAGTCATGTTAAAAAAAAAGAGTGATTGAAGATATAGAAATATAACTTAAGGGAAACAATATTAATAAGAAGTATAGTAGCTATAGGAGTAAAAAGGTTATTTCTATTTTAATCACTTGCCATTATCTTTGAAAAGAAGATTGTAGGGATTACACAAGATCAAATTTTGAATGATATTCCCTATAATATTTCAAGTTCAGATTAGGATCAATTGAGTACTTCTTTTAGTTATTTGGGATTATTATTAAAGTATATAGCAAAGATAAAAGAGGTGTAACATTAAAATATAGATTTAAATTAAATGGAAGCAAAAGTTACATCTAATAATACATGTTTGATAATAATGATTTAAATGATAGTTTTATAATTTAATAGATATATTAATAAATTTTTTGCAATTTAATCATACACACTTTAAGTAATCTTCTCCATTATTTATAATAGGTTTGAAATGACATAATTCATCTACCATCCATTCAATACTATTTAAAATCATCATTCTTCTTTCCCCTCTCATCATATTCCTCATCAAAAATGGTTATTTCCAAGAAGTACACTTTTCTTACGTATGACCACCATAACCAGGTAACATTGATATGAAACATGCTTTATGCCAACATGCAATCTAAAAATAATTCTTAATAAATCTTACTCTATATATAGGTTTCTTCTCTGGTTTACAATGTTAAAGTGTCTCATGTAATCTTAATAACATTTCTTCTTCTTTAAGAATCTAGAATTAGTAATAAACTTCTAATTCCAAATCAGATACTTTAATCCCTTCTCCATTGACTATTCCTGAAACTACTTAAAAGTATTTATCAATGTCTCCACTGAATTATGCAGGTTTTTCAAAATAGCTAGTTGTCACTGGATCTGAAGCACAAATTGCCAATTATTTAGCTGCATCATGAAGCACCTTTTCTAATGTTGAAAATATGAAACCCTAATATAATTACTATATATTTACATGTTTTCCAAATAAACTTCTTAAATGATCTTCATATTTAAAGTCTTTAGCTTTTAAAGAAAGGAACAAAGCAGATTTAAATAAATTATATCTCTTATCTTTTCCTAGATTATTCTATTTACTAATTATATATGCCATCTCTAATCTCTAAAATATAGTGTGTAAAAATCGCAATAAAATATATAAATTTTGAGTAACATATGTTGTCTACTTTACTCTTGGTTATAAATTTAAAAAATGTCCAGGAGGTTCATTTTCTATTTCTGGAATCGAGACTGTAGTTTCTTCTGGATTATAATGAATATCATATATTTCTAAATCTTATATATCAGTCTTTAATTTAGTATCATTTAATGTTAATTCAGATATTTACATAGGTTTCATGGGAACTTAAAAAAAGTGATTGATTAATTTAATCATTAAGAATGTACCATTTCTTTTATCTAATGAGTTATTTCCTCCCATGATTTGTAAATAATGGATTATGAATTGTCCACATTCTTAGAGTATTTATTCATTACCCAACCAAAGAGAAATAAGTGGGCAAAAACGAACATTTTCTTTTATTGGAGGAGGTAATGGCATTTATTTTGGTAAAAATGGTTTAATATTTGTCATTTAAGCTAAAGAATTTAAAAAGGAATCATCAAAAGTAAATTATATATTATCTGCTTTTCTTTTAAGAAATACATGATCTTTGGTTCCTAGATATTTAATTAATACATTTTTGGCATATTCTTCAATTTCTCTAACAAATCTCTATCCATTAATTACTAATTTATCATTCTTTTTAAAATAGAAAGATCTATGATCTAAAGATCTATGAAAATTAATTGTTGAAACAGTTTCCCATACTTATTTAGCTTTATTATTACGTGCTTATACTAATTCATTTAATTTTTATTTGACTCTTTTAATTAATATCTTAGCACTTTCTATAGGTTTAGTTTAAAATAATTATATTATTTCATTCTAATCTTAAGTCTAATTTCTATATAATTATTATAATATTCTCATATCAATAACTTTATTTACAAGAACTTATTCATCTTTATTTCCATCTATGATTTCTTAAAGTAAATTAATAGTTCTTTTTATTTATTAAATATTGACATCAAATTCAAATCTTTCATCTTCACTTTTAAACAATTATTCTTCAAAAGTATTTTTCCTCATAATTAAGAATGATTAATCTTCAGAACCAAATGGAACAGAAACCCATGAATGATTAAGAATTTCAGGATTATTATTTGCTTTAGCATATCCAATAGGCATTCTAACATATGATCTTGTAACTCTATCTACTTAAGCAAAATCAGTATCTTTCAATGGTTTAAATAATGGAGTTTATATTCTTCTTGCTATTACTCTTGTTGTTAACATTGATCTTATATCATCAATATATTCTCTCTCTAACCAATTTTATTGATTAATCAATTCCATAACTTCCATTTAAGTAATTATACATTCAGAATATAAATGAATAATCTTTAGAAATTCATTCATAAATTGTTAATAATCATTAGGAAATTATTAAATCACTCTTAATCGAAATTTATCCCAAAATAATAATTCATTCTATTTTAATTAATCAAATTTTACCATATCAATAACAGCTATTCCACTCTTATCTAATAATCTTTAGAAATAATTTCTATTCTCTTCAATCTTCTTTTTTGGAGGATTCTAATCATGCTTCTTTTTGAAACTCTATAAGAATTACTATTATAATTGAGGATCATTGCTGAATAAATCCAATATATGATCTTTATTCTGATGCCCATCTAATTACCCATTCTATATTTATTTTAATATAGTCTCCATTGCCTTACTCTAATTACTTTCATTATTCACAAATTCAGTCAATTTCTCTTTTTGTGTCTTAAATTTAACATCATCTTCCAATAGATTATTCACCTCCTTTAACAATTCTGGTTCTTCACTTAACATTTGTCCCAACGATTCCTTAGCTATACGAGAAGTTTAACTAACTATATTTGAAAATTGCCTATAATTTTATCAAAATAAAACTTGTAGAGTTATTAATTTGTGCGTCTTAACTTCTAACAAAATTGCTCACATCTCTCATATAACTATTAATCTATATCCTATATTAAAAACCTATTTCAAAACTTACTTCACCAAATTCTCCCATATTACTTTTGCTTAATATATCATCACTCATTTTTAATTATCTTATATTAATATAATTTAAAAAATTTATAAAATAAAGAATAATTATACACATTTTCGATTTCTTTAATATCCCTTATGTAAATTATCATTCATTATTTTTCTTATAATTAATTTATTCAAATAAAATCTAATCTATATTCTATTCAACTTATTCTATATTAATAAAATACACTACTGAAATCTTTATTCAATAAAACAATTGAAACATTAGTATAATTAAAATATATATTATTATATTTAATATAATTATATTATATAATTATAATATTCATTCTAATATAAATGCATAATAAAAGAATTTAGGAGTTAATATACCAATTATAATTAAAAATTTAAGTTTTTAAAGAATGAAAATAAATATTTTTGCATAAAAAATATACTAAAAAAATTGACAAAAAATAACAAAATTTAAGATTAAAAATTTAGTGTTTTTATAATTTATTAAGTCAATTATTTAGATATATTTGTTAAAGATTAAGTAAATTAAAGGATCAAATATTTGATTTAGTTATATTTTTCAATCTTATTCTATTATTATTATTATTTTGATTAGAATTATAAGTTCCTGAAATCTAATTATTAGATTAAGAATGAAATAAACTAATCATCGATATAAATAGATTCAATCTATTTTTATTGATTTGATAATGAAAATAATTTTCTTGGAATATTAAATAATTTAATCTCATTTGACTTCTTCACTGATATATCTAGGTCTGTATTTTCTTGGAGAAGGTACTTTCTCTTATAATTTGTGTTCTACTAGTTATTAGAGTAAGTAAGTAATATGAGCATAGAATTCTTCATTCCATTCTTTTTCAGTAGGTTTTTTTACTGTTTTTATATTCTATTGAGAACCAACTCTTATTAACTTTTTATCAGAATGTTAGTTTTAATTTTCTCTCTCATTTATTTCTTTATTTTCTTCTTCATCTCTTATAATTTATAATTTCAGTAAAGGTTTATTGATTTAAGGTCTTTCCAAATTATTTAAGTTAGATGATTCAAATTCTAATGATTTTTATATAAGATTATTTGAAAATATCTTTTCTTTAAAAAAAACTTTTGGCACTCTAACATTATTACTGATAATAATGTAATTGAAAATACTTATAATTATATTCTGCAGTTTGGACAGCCTTTTCAATCGGAGACAATTCATCAGGATCTTCTCTATAAAGCATTTCACTAAATATTAATTCAAATTCTATACGCTATATCATGAATAGTCAAATCAGCAGCAGCTCCAATCTTTAATAACATAGTTGCTATTTTAACATTTCTTAAGCAAATTTCTCTTAATTATACTTTTTCTTTTATCATTTAAATATCCTTATCTGGATCTATCTTTTCAATAAAAAGCTTTTCTTCCTAAGTAAATTGTTAGGCCATTTAACCCCAATGATACCAGACTACTTCATCTCTACAAATTTTAAATGAATCTGGAAAAGAATAACCATGATCAATTGGAATTAAGAAATAATCAAAAGTTTGTCTTGTTTATCCAGTTGCTTAAGGAACTTTTCTTTTTTTGATAATATAAAGAAATATATTACTTTTTTCTCACTAAAATGTTTTCTTCATTTCGATCACAATTCAATATTCGAATATCTAAAATGGCTATTTTTCTTGCTTCCATAGATGGATACAATCCACTCCCATAATTACCAACATTATCATCATGTGGTATATATAGTTAAAATGAACCTTCTTTAATTGGTATTTTTTCATGTTAAAACTATTTATATTCTTCTGCTTCATGAAATGTTGGATGACAAATTTAAACATAATTAGTTATAGGGACTAAATTAATTTAATTTCAGTATTACCATTATGATAATGTCCAGAGGATTAATCTATTAAGTATGCAGCTACTTCTCGATCTACTCCTTCACCTGATAAGATACCTTATCTAAGTCCAGGAGAGTTCATTTTTCCTTTCATCCCTCTTGGGTTGTTTGGGCTACATAATAATTTAGGAACTTACGCAAAGGCTTCTTCATCATATGGTTTGAAAATTGCCACTGGTTTGTGATTCTAATTTTCTAATATGTAAGTTCCCTATGTTCCAAAATCTGTCAATTTAGGAGTAATTCCCTTCATAAAGGCTCCTTCGACAGCCCATTTAGCATTTTAAAATTGTTCTTTAGTACTTCTAGTCTCTTCCAATATATTATAAAGACTATTGATGAAATATGTCTACTAACCCTACTTACGGGCCATCAGTTTTAATGAGACATGATTCTTAATTCCATAATCCTATTACATTAGAATATGAATTACTTCAAGATCTTCATTGTTTAATGTTAATTCTTAATTTTTATATAGGACCCTAAAGTCACCCAAATCAAGTTTTGTTGCTTTATGTATTTTTTGTTTTAAAATTGAAATCTTCATCCAACTATATAATTTAAGTGTAAAGTCATTGCCTATTTGAACTTAATTTTGTATATGCAACACTAATTCTTTTTGAACGCGTTGGTCATAAGGATTTGAAGAACTAAAGCCAAAACCTTAAAATTCAAATGCAATATACTCTCAAATTTCCTTTTGACCTATCCTTTTTTCATTTATTAGAATCTTCAATTTTTATAATATTATCTTTGAGTTAACAGATATAATCAAAATAATTCATTAATCAAATTATAATTATTATAATAATTCTAATTAATCATCATTAAATCACTCCTTCTAATGTCTATAATTATTATAATGATCTTATATATACCTTAGGTATCACAATATTTTTTAAAAGTTTATGTATGATAAATAAATATATATAAATATTATCTTAAGGTTATATGAATTCAATTCAATTCAATTAATTTAATTATAATGATTATATTGGCTATATTATCAATAAAATTAATTTAATAATATAATATCATTTGAGTTTATAATAAATGACAATACTGTATATTAATCAGTAAAAATGAAAAATATTCCAATAGATTTTTAAATACTATTTATGTACTTTAAGGTCTTAATAATTTTTTCAAAATCTCTTCTTAGGTTCCAATTATATACAATAATGAAAATTATATTGATTAAATCAAATAATATATACGAAATTCAAACTTAATTATAAATACTGGTCTTATGAATACAAAAGTATTATTAGTATGATATTTCTAAGTTTAAGTTTAGAATCATTAGATTGTTGATTATTAATAAATATTATAGATTATAATAAGAGTTTAGAGTTAAATGATATTCATTTTCAGACTAATGGTGATATTGTTCTTCTTTACAAAATAGTATTTTTACTAGTGTCTAATTGTATTTCTATCCTCATAGCATTCCTTAACTTTGTCTTACTCATAGTATTTTGGCGATTCTTTTTATATTTTCCAAATCCATCAGGTAAATTTAATGGAAAGATTATGGGAGAGTCTTGACAACTTGTATTTTATTTTGAAGTTGTTCTTTTTGAAGATTTTCTTTCAAAGATTGGTTCTTAAATTTCATTTGAGTGATTGACCACTTATGCACAACCCATTGAGAATTCTGATTGCAAATAAAATTAATTGAGATATTTTATATGATGGATTTAATTTGAAATTTGGCTATCTGATGCTTAATTTAATGATCGCCAAGTTTGAGATATGCTAGTTTGAATTATTTTTATAAATTATGATATACATAGATAAGATAAATTGAATAATATATTAATAATTATTATTTTATATTTCATACTATTCTTTATTTTCTTAAATGAGTGCAAATCAATAGCCGAACTAATAGGAACTCTCTGATGAAGGTAATAATCGAGATGGAAATTATTAGAATTCATGAAGCTTCATGCTAAATAATTTTACAGAACTCATGGTTAATTGCTTGGAAGTTAACAATAATATATACCAGTTCCAAAGGAGAGCAATAATAATGGAAAGTTTACAGATGTAAATATTGTCATTAATAAATAGCATTTACTAATGGCATCAATGTATAGGAATAATAGTCTCAATACTACTTGTGACAAAGAACGTTGGATTAATGGTTCAAAGGATTGGATGGAACATTTACAATGAAATTTATAAACATACATTAATTCATTTATCAAATCTTTAGACACTTAACAATACTAATACTATTGTTTACACTTTGGATCATTAAAATAATTATTAAAGTTGCTGTATAGTATTAGCAATCTAAAAATTGAATACATACTTGTAATTTGAATTTATTATTTTATTTATTCAACCTTTATGCAAAATAGACAAACTGCATAATAATGTTTACTAAGTTATATATTTTCAACTTTACTTATTTATTTTATAATCATAATTCAATTCATTTAGAAAGCCATTTCATTCAATGTTATTATTTATTGAATTTTTGGTTATGATATCTTAATGAGTTTGTCTTTGTAATTGAAATATGGTTTTTGTTTTTGTTATTTTTGTGTCAGTTTTCTTTATTGATTTTAATTATTTTTAAATTTTTTATATATAGGTTTTAGAATATATAATTAATCTCTTTATTAAGTATAAATGGATACACATCCTAAGCAGCTTCTATTCATACTATAAAATCTGATTTCCTTAAATAAAGGATTGAAACTGCCGAACATTGTTTTTCTTAAATAACAGCTTTAAAAAACTGTTTTATAAAATATCTTGAATGAAGAAAATGAGAGATTATAAAGATTAATATAATAATTAAAACTATTTCAAATGAATGTTAAAGTGTGACATTTAAATACCATATACATTTAATAATTTTCAAAAGAAACTGAAAGCAATACCTTTATATAAATATCCTAATATTTCTAAAAATTATATATTGTTAAGCATATACAAAAGAAGATTATTTAATTCTAAAAAAATAAAGAAAATGAAGGGGAACCTTAACTAAATTTTAACTTCTCAAAACTGCTATAATATGAAATTGTAGTTTTACTTATAATGGGAAGAAATATAAAATTATTTTATATTAGTGTTATAATAAATTTAATTGTTATTAATAAATTATTTTTACAATAATTTAAAGTTGATATCAAATTAATGACGCTCCATCTTATTTTCACTTAAAAAACTTAAGTGTTTGTCTAATTTGAGATTTCAAGTTGAATAATAATGATATTTGTTAAAAAACTATAATATTGAAATAACGAATTAGTTTTGATGTAATTAAATTACTCTAAAGGTATTTAAACTATCTAATCATAACCCTTCTCCATCTTGTACCTAAAGTTAAAGACTTTATATTATATAAATTAAAATAGAATCTATTAATTGATAACCTAAAAATCAAGTTTGTTTTTTAGTTTATTATGATTTATAGTTATAGAATTTGATGAATTTAAAAGAAAAACAAATCTAAATATAAAATCAATCATTTATTTTTCATGATTTTATTATACATCTTCTCATTTATAGTTATGCAAAGCAATGCATAAAAAAATATGGCATTTTGTGATGAATATATTGAGTTCGATAATTAGTATTTTGGAAAATTCATTTCTAATGTCAAACTTTCAAATAATACAGATGCCATCCTAGCAGAAAAAAGAGTCCTTATCATTGATGAAGATCTTAACTTATTAAGTTCAGCCTATTCCTAAGACTTAGACTCATAACTGCAATTGGATATTCACATATAGTTTTGATGTTTTCTTTGTAGGTTGTCAAAAAAATGGAGAAGCCCCTTATTTAGTTGCTTATAAAAGTATCAATGAAACTCATTACTCTTAATTTGGTGATATTGTGTATTTCCCTAATTTAAATGAGACAATATTGAGTGTAACTAGTGTCTTAAATACATTATTTACTGTTTAATCAAAGAAAGTCACATTATTCACTTTAGTATGGGCAGCATCAGATTGGAGTATTAAGACGACTCAGAATGTTCTTGATAAGAATTATTTCGCAATGTCATCTGAAATCAATATTACTGATATAACATATGAACCTTATTCATAAGATAACAGTTCATTTTATAAATTGATAGTAGTTGAATTCAGTTATGGAGCATTTTGGGTTGACACTATTGTAAAAAATAATATCATCTCACCATTTAGAACTGGCCTAATTAATATTAAATAGTATTATTCAAATCTTTATACCTTATACTATCAATCAGCTGTCATCCATTCCACAACTCAAAATGCATCTCAAATTTCTATTAATCTGTTTAGTAATGGTCGTTAGGATTTATCCATAAAAGTTGAATATGTTTCAACATAAAAAACTACAATAAATCCACTTTATACATATAGTGGATAATGGTAATCATGGGGTAAACCTATTAAATCTGGAAATTTACAAGGGATCCTACGTAGAAATGTATAAAAGCAAAGCATTTTTAATGTTTATAATATCATTATTCCTCCAGTCTTAAATGAAAATTAAGTAACTGCCACTGCCTATGATCCAGTAGATACTTTTACATCTCCTCCATAAGATTTTCCTATCTACTATTTTAATCGTGGATACAGAATAGTCCATAGTATAGAAAACAATAAATTATAAAGTTGCGACCTTTACAACTATAAATTGGAAATGGAATGAATTATTGATAAATCCATAAACAAAATAATATCCTTCTCATTCTCTTTTTCTAAATAAATATCAAATTAGTATCATAACCAAAAACAACAATGAATTAATCATATTATATTAATTTCTTGATTTTATTTGTTAAAAAATTATTTCTAAGATTAAAATTACAATTGATAGATTGAATATAATAATTTTTGATAAATTTATTTTCTTTATGTTATAAACACTATTTAAATTGAACATAAGGAAGGTAAAGGAATCTTATTGATTCAAGATATGTACTTTAATTGATTTTACTTTCAAAAGAAATTATATTAATAAAATATTAACTTATTGTAAATTATATATATATATTATTATTAAAATAATATTAAGAAAAAAAAGAATGCTTTTATTTAGTCAATAATTAATCTTTCATATTAATGATAAAGACAAATAATGAATTGAAGAAGTGGCAAAATCAATAAGGGAACTCTTAAATATTTCGTATTTCTAAAATGAAACCACAATGTTTCGATATTTCACCATGTCGCAAAATTATTTGTGTTGGATATACTAATAAGTGTCTAATCTTTTGGGACTTTGTAAATTGTTTGAAATTATCATGCCATCAACTCTCCTTTATTCCTATGTAAATATTGTATTCAGGAGATGGTAAATACTAACTAATTAGATCAAAATAAAATCCTAAGAAAATTTATATCTATAAATTGTCTAACATGGAATATGAGGAAATAGTTTAATCACATTATTTATATCAAAAGATATTGCAATTTAATTCATCTCAAAATCATGAGGTCTTAATGATGGGATTATCTCATATTAGCATCATAAACTATAAAACTAAATAGATATAAAAATAAATAGATTTTCAATTTGTCTCTTTAACTTCTCTAAAAAATAAATAACAAATATGCACTATTGACTGTCATGATGATAGGGGTCAAATAAATATACTATAACTTAGAAGAAATCTTAAGATAATTAAGCGGACTTTTTTTAATGTTTAAGATGGCAATATAAATATCAAAACAAGCAACAATAATTCTTTTATTGTTACAAGTAATAAATCAAAAAATAGAATTTGGAACATTTAAACTATGAAATTACTAAGAAAGAAACACTATGGAGAAGATTAAATAAGTGAACTTACTATAAATTCCTTCTCAAATCTAGTTTATTTCCATTTAAGTTCATATGGAATTGTAGTATGGAATATCACTACGGGTAGACATAGAGTAATAGTAGAAGATTAAAACAATCGACTATCTAGTCTATAAGTAATATCAAATTCTTAATTGGTATATAAAAGTAATTGGCATGTTCATTCCACTGTTTGTTTCTGATTTATATCTTTCATTTATGTGTTATCATAAATTAAAAACTAATCTAAAATAATATTTTATTTCTTAATGTATTTGATTATTCATCTTCTAATTAAAAAGATTTTTATTAAAATTAGGTATAAAATTTATTCAAATTCTAATTTGATCCTTCAAATTACAAAACATTAATCAATTTCTATATATTATTAATTTCCTTTATTTTATAATCAATGCTAATTATAAAATGATATTTTTATAATATTTATCATTGATAAATAAAAAATGTATACAAGTAAACTTATCTTTTTTTCTAATATTACTTTTTAGAATAATAAAAATATTAAAAATATTAAAAATAAGATATTTAGATGTCTGAATTAGTATTTATTAAAAATGTTATTTATCAATTAGGCATATATTTAGATCATTTTTATTGTTTATAATTAAGTTTTTATATAAAATGTAATATAATTATTTAATCTTTATTTGTAAATAAAAAGAATGGCATTCATTTTTATCTCTTTTCAGACCCAAATAATTTTTACATATTCGAATTTTTATGAAACTAATAATTTGTAGTAGTTTTAGGGTATACTATTTAAGCAAACTATTCAGTTTTGATTCTGTTGTTTTCATTTTTATGAAGGTTTTAATCAGGCATAGTAGCAGTTCTTTCAGAACTCATTTGACCTTTTGTTGATTCTAGAATTTATTTGAGTACCTAAAATATATATAATTAGTATTACTTTGATATCCTGATTTTAGTTCTATTATTACATTGTCTTAGAATAGGCATGAGTAATTTTGGAGGATTAGATTAAGGAAGCAGATTTATTTGAAAATTCATTCCTCTTTAAAAGATCTGAAACTTCAGATTTACCAGAATATTTTGGTACTCTTTTAACTTCTTAAGGAGATATTTACTAATAAATTAAAAAAAATAAATAATACTCTTGGTCTTTCTGGGGAATTGATATCAGAATTAGGTATATTCTCTTCATTAAGTTAAGCTAAATTGATATGATTAGATCTATTTAATTTATGCCCAGGTTTCTAAGGAAGATCTTCTCTAGAGAAGTAAAAGTTTTTTAATATAAAATTTGGATTATTATCGGTATTCTAAATAATTTAGAATTCATACCACATATTCTTTTTAGAGATTAATTGCATATTATTTCCTAAATTCAGAATCACCTTTATTAAATTCTTCTTCATCAAAATTGTATTTTAGAGGTTCTGGTTTATAAGGAGGGTTGATTTTTCTATTAACTATATCTTCAAAGTTGATATCAGCAAACCAAGGATGACTCAAGATTTCAACTATACCTTAAGATTATCCCAATCTCTCTTGTGGATCCTTCTCCAAAAGTTAGTAAATTAAATCTTTTAATAGGTCTGATATTTAAACATAAGGAGGGAATTACACTTGTTCAGATAAGATGGAAGTGTAAATTTCCTGAGTATTATGTGAATAAAAAGGAGGTAAACCTGTAACTAATTCATATAGAAGTGCACCTAGACAATAACAATCAACTAAATAATTATGGCCACTTTTCATGAGCATCTCTGGAGCCATGTACTCTGGAGATCCACAAAAAGAATAGGCTAAATCTTCATTGGACATATTTGGTTTGCTTAATCCAAAATCACTTAATAAAAGATGTCCATTTAAATCTAAAAGTATATTTTCTGGTTTAATATCTCTATAAACTATATTCTTTGAATGTAAATATGCCATTCCTATGCATATTTCAACAAAATAATATTTTGCATCTTCTTCAGTTAATCTTTTTAATTTTCTTAGATGATAAAATAGTTCACCTCCAGCACAATAATCCAATACAAATGCTATATAATATTTGGTTTCAAATGCAAAATGTAAAGGAGTAATAAATTCATTATTCATATTAACCATTATATCTCTTTCATTTTAGACTATTACTTCCTTTTAATTTTCCATGATGAAATTTTTGTCTATCAATTTTAAAGCATAAAATTTGCCATTGTCTCTTTTCCTTACTAAATATACTCTTGAAAATCCTCCAACTCCAATACACTTAACCAAAGTGAAGTCTCTTAATGATACTTTCTTACCATGAAGAGGTTATGAAATCAAGGGTTATAATTGTAGAGTAATACCTTAGAATACATTCAAAGGTAAATTATGCATATTTAGATAATAATCATAAGGAATGTTTTTTTAGGTTGTTTAGAATTAACATATTTTATTGATTTCTATGAATAATTTATACTTAAACCTTCTTAAATTTAGACTTCTTCTGTTGATCCTGTTCCTCCTCCTTGTTTCATAAATGACTTTTCAATACATGCAATTTATTATATTAAATAATTGTATAAATTGTCAGTAGTCTAACCAATGAAATTATAATGATAATGATATCTATTGTATTTAAATAAGTAATTACTTTTATCCTTTATAAACTAAAATGATCTTTAACTACTTTTATGGATCAAAATGATTAGATTCTTCTCTAAGATTTTTTTTTAATGAATCACTTCTTTATTATGTTGATTGATTTATTGATCTCACTTCAGTATTATTTTTATGGAATTAGTTCTTATTTTTATTTAAAATCTATTCAATTGAGTACTTTAATGTTTGAGAATCTTACAGTAAAGATTACTTATTTTATCTAATTGTAAAATATTGTTAATAGTCAATAGGCTATATATTATTTTATTCCTTAGCACTCTTTATTTAAAGATCTTGAAAATATTGATCTACAGTAGATTTTGGTAATTATTTGCTATTTTAAGGCATCTTCATTATATTATTATATTTGATAGTATTTTTTGAATGTTTTGTTTCAATTTGGAGTGTGGCAAGAGAGAGATTCTTTCCTTTTAAAAGTGATTTCTTATTTGAATTACTTTCCTCTGTTTGGATACGCTAAATTATATAGATGGATTACATTTGATATTTTTAATCGTTCACTTTTCTGACTATTTAAATTATCAATACTTCTGCTTTGTTATAATTAAGACTTGATATTATTAGAGACTTATGTAATAGTATTTCTCTCTTTTTTAAAATACTCTAATAAGTCTTATTTTGGATTTTTGGCTGTAGTAGTTGTACTTTCAGTCTTCATTATTTTGCTATTACTCTTTTTTGCCTTAAAATCAATAGAATATGGATTCTCTGGTAAACTACCTCTTCCACTAGATTATTATGGTTAAGATGAATAATTTTTCATTAACGATATTAATAATTAATAATAACCACTTTGTGTGTATAGAATATCTATGCTAATCAAATTTTTGATTATATATTTAGATTAATATCCTTAAAAAATAGTTCAAATATAATATAAACTGAGTCTGTGTATACTAAAATCATTCTTAATTTTGTTTTCTCATTTCCATTATTTTCTGTTTTGCTTCTACTTTAGTATTTTGAACTAAATCAGTCATTAGAGAAATAAATATGGGAATCATTATCATTGTGATGGTTATTATTATAATGTATTACAACTAATATAATAAATTAATAATCTTTTTTACATATTTTGTCTCAAAAGAATAGATAATATCTTTAGCATAAGTATTATAGAATCCTTATTATTCAAGATCATTATCTAATCCAAACCTTAAAGTACATCTAAGTAATCCCAAAAAAGTATAAAAGAAATTGTCATGATTTACTAATTTACCTTGAATGGT